AAGTCTCACATGTTTGAGTTGTGTAATGGAAAGGAACATTGAAGGGGAAGACATATAAGGTTTGGGAGGTACTTGCAATGCTTCTAGGCTTCCTTCTAGCATCTCCACCACTTTACTAATTGTTGTCGATTTGAAGGGTTAGTTTGTATGCACCATAAACTCACCACAATTATCTTTCTTGTTATTTCTTTATCAGCATCATTTTCAATCCACCACAATCCTAGCTCCTCATTTAATTCAAGGCGCTTATAAATCTAATGTGGAAAATATATTTCACTTGAACATTCAACTTTTACATTTGTATTCTTCCTTCCTCCAACCATTTCAAGAACCATCATTCCATAACTATAGACATCTGACTTGTGGGAAACCTCACCAATATTTCTTGAAGTAGCTCTGGAGCAATGTACCCAATGGTTCCCCTCGCATCTAGTAAGGAGACAATGCTCTCCTTTCTTGGGCATATTTTTTGCTAGTCCAAAATCAGATATCTTTGGGGAGAAATCCTCATCAAGTAGTATGTTGAGGTTTTTATGTCAAAATGCACATTCTTGTATTGCAACCTCTATGCAAGTACTCTACCCTCTAGCAACACCAATTGCTATATTGAACAAAGTTTTGCAGTTTAATTGACAAACAACTATATTTTTATTTGCCTCAAAGATAAACTTCTCTAGAGATCCATTAATCATAAACTCATAAACCAGTGCTCTTTTGGAGCCTTGGAAACAAAATCCTAAAAGGTTGACAATATTGACATGAGATGTCCTGCTGATACTAGCAACTTCATTGATGAATTCCTCACCAATGCCTTTCAATTCACTTAAACCTTCACTGCAACAAATCGCCCATCTCTTAAGCTGCCTTTGTATACACTGCCGAATCCTCCTTGGCCTAATCTAAATTTGAAGTTGTTTGTGATTTTCTTAATCTCAGAATAACTATACCTAGTAGAAGGAAGGGGTCCTTGTTCCTTCAGAAAATCTTCAATTATTTGATGTGATGGATGATTTCTTGTCCTAAAAAGCTTTCGTTTGAAGCAGCAATTTGCCAAGAACAACATGATATTGCAAAAGGGTAAAACTGCATTAAAATTTGAAAGAATTAATGTATATCATTTTCTTGCTTTATAACAAATTTATAATAAAATTATAACATGTTCTAATTTGCAATAGTACAACCTATTTCACATATTTCATGTAAAAGGATTCAAAATTTAGTTGGTGGTGCTTGGGGAAGAGTTGGAAAGGGGAAAAAAATAGTTAAAATTAGTTAATGATGTTAAAATTATCCACCTGTTAGAAAATATCATTAATTAAATTGCAATAAATTCTAACTTAAATCAGATTCTTTTAAGTCTAAAAGTATACGAAACCTCCATGAACTGAGTTGCGCATAACCACTCCGACTTTTAAATATTTTAAACTCAGATCTAAAATTTCATAGTTTGACCATAAACTCCTCTACCATTAAAATTGCCGTGGATTTTGTCATCTCACTTTTTTTTTAAAAAAAGTAATATGTCATTTCACGCTAACAAATAGCACTTGCCAATGATTTGAAATTTTAAGTATTTTAACTATTTTATTAATATTTTAAAAATACATCGGGCCATTTTGTAATGAAAAAACAAAGGACTTTTAGGAAAATCACAAAATGGCTCTAAGAATTTTAAAAATCTTAATAAAATAATTAAAATAATAAAATTTCATTTCAATGCAAAGTGTCATTTGTTACTGATTTGTCAGATGCATCAAAATAATTTAATAGTGTGGGAGTTGGCGGTCAAAATATGAAATTTCAGAATCTTAATTTTAAACATTTAAAAGTTAGAGTGGTGATATCAAGTAACGCAACACATTCAAATTTTTGTGAGATTTTGTATTTTAAATTTATTTTCAGTCCTCCCTACCATATTACTATACAATATCCATACTAAAGATATATGAGAAGAAATATTGATTGCTTTATATTTTGCGTAATGATTAAACGTAAAATTATGAAATTTTTTTAAAAAAATAACTTATAAGTAAAATCATTTAAAAAAATTATTTTGCAAATAGAAATGGAGGGAATTTCATCACTTAATATTAAATGAGGACTATTATTCCCTAGGCCCATGAGAAACAAAACAAACAGCCCGACAGGCTAGTCTCATTAGTCTCGTGTTGAGCATGTTGTACAACATGCTTGTGGAAAGTCACATGAACGCACATACTCAGTATAATGTTAAAGGCATAAAATGAACATGCAGTTATGTAAATTACCTAGCCCCAGTCCAAGTACCAGCATGAATCTCATTCTCTTGTGATCTGCGTTCAAAAGAAGCAATAATTGGAAGCAAGCACGAAAACAATTAAACAAGTCGATTGAAGTCAAATTCAGAAAACATATTGTACTCTTCTTCAGAATAAATACGTAATACAGTATTTATTATATTTTTGTAATTATAAATTAATAACACCTTTGATCCTTATAATAAGAAAATGTATTAAAAAAAAGCATGCTTTGTTTAAATACAAAACTAATATGTCATCGTGCCCTCTTATACACTCCCTCTAGTCCTATTTGTAGAATACCTTATAAAAATAATTTTTAATTCAAAATATAATATACCTTGTAATAATTATTTTTTTTAATTTTATCATTTTTTGATTAATGTAAAGATATTCAATATAAGTGTATCATGATTTAAAGCTAAATATAAAAATAAAAGCATATCTCCTTTTTTATAATATAAAATTAATTTTTTTAAAATGTGTGAAGTAATTAAAAATGTTCTACAATAAAAATAAAAAAAGTATTTAAATGCTTATTTTTTAGTTCGACATGTGATAGCTATAACTCACTAACTAATGACTTTTAGTGACAATAATTTTAAAATATTACAGTAAATAACTCATTTTAATTAACTTTCTTAAAGTTGTTAGTAGTTGTATCAAATTTTTTGGAAATGATAACCTTGTGTCAGGAACACAAATTCAACCAGAGAATCCATCAAAAAATTCTGCTGTTATCATTACTGCATTCAGAAGAAGAAATAATTCGAAGTGAGCATCTCATCAAAAAAGAAAAAAAGAAAATTGAAGCACCAAAACATTAAACAAATGAAATGAAAATCAGAAAACATATTTTATTAGTAAAAACATAATATTTATTATATCTTTACAATTATGAATTAATAACACCTTTGATCCTGATTATAAGAAACTCCTGCATATACTAAAAAATAAGATGTCTTGTTTAAATCAAAACTAAGATATCATCGTATTCTTATAAATTAATATATTTATTTTCAAATTCTAGACATTCGAGTAGTAGTACTACAACTCACTAACTAATTAAAATAACTCCTCTAACTAATAACTTTACAGTAATTTTAAAATTTTACAAGAAATAACTCATTTTAATTAATAATTAATTTTTTCAAAGTTGTTAGTAGTTGTTTATAAAAATTACTGGAAATAATAGCCTTGCTGAAACATTACTTTTCAAATTTCTTTTTAAATTATGAGGGGGAGGGAAGGACTGAAGATGACACAATGCAGTAATAGAACTAAATGTAGATTATTTAAATTAAAACAGGATGATCTGTATTTAATATTAACTTTTTTAAATTTTGTAATCATTTTTGTTTTAATAGATGTAACGTGACATTCAAAATAGAAAACGATAACTATAACTTTGTGGGGGGGGGGGGGAATGAATTCATTACTTCAAAATTGCAAATCTGATTTGAAATACCAAAATTAAAAATTTGGACATTTCAGAGCGGCGTAAGTACTATTGAAATTCAACCCACGAACACATGTCACTCCTTCTCCTAATTAGAGAACAAAAATTTAAAGCATTACTTGATTATTAAAATAGATGTAGTAGTTAATTTTTAATACTTTCCCTCCTTAATTACATTAAGATTTAATGTATAAATTAATTTTATTGTAATCGTTAATTTTAGTAAAAGCAAAGTTAAAAAGGCATTTCTTTTTATAAATTTAATGATATTAATTTTCATTTTAAAAAAACTGTAAAATTTGTCAACTTTTTCCATAATTAGTGATCCGTTATTGACTTATTTCTTTTAGTGTACTGTTATTAACTTTTACACACGATTAAATAAACAAACAGAAGAAGAGAAATACACGTTCAATCTAGTAGAAGAAACTACCATGCGAAATTAGTATCCAAAGAAATAGCAGTGAAAGAAGACTGACTGATTGACTCTGAGAGAGAGAGAGAGAGAGAGAGAGAGAGAGACCAGAATGACACATCAGATAATTATCGCCGTCCGGGCAATGGCACCTGAAGCCATAATCATTAAATTCGAAGCCACACCTCCCTCCACTTCTCAGGCATGCGTCGCACTTATTCACCGTCCAGTTCGCTAACGTCAACACGAACCCTCTTCCCAACGCCTCTCCGATCCCTCCTTCCACATTTTCCACCACCGTCGTCTTTACATTGCCGTGTCTGCAATTATCCTTCGCATACTTCAACTTTTCCTGATCATCGTCCACCGCCAAACCCAACACCGACCTTGTTCTGTTCCCTTCCGAACATCCCACCCTGTTCTCTCTCATATTATCCGGCAGCGACGACGTGTCACAATCGAAGAACAGCACAACTGTGTCTGGTTCGGGGCGAAATCGAACCTGTCGCCGTAAAGAGTAAGGTTGTTTGAAGGAGAGAGACAATTGTTAGAATTGGAGCTTTGTAATTTAGGGTTGGAGACTCGAAGAGAATTATTGCGGTAGAAGATTTCCCCGACGATGTACAGAGTATTGGAGAGATTGAGTGATGGGAAGCCATTGGGAGCACAGATAAGGTCAAAATGAGGGAATCCGCAGAAGGGGTCTTGTCTACCTACGAGATGGAAGGGGTAGCTTATGTTGGGGCCGTTTCCACAGGTTTTGGGTTCGCAAGCTTGGAACTTTGGATTGACAGAACAGAGGATGATTCTGATGAGAACAGAGAAGACGATGATGGAGAAGGCGGTTGCTGGGTTCATTTGGGAATTTAGAGAGAGAGGAGGCGAGCAAAGGCGAAGAAGACAAGAGGCTTGGGTTCAAATAACCCAAAACATTCCCAAATAAAAGCATGAAGTTCAGAATCAATAACATGGAAACCTGAGGTGAGATTCCTCTCTCTGATAAGAGGCTCTGAGAGATGCTTCTTTTTTTAATGGTGGAAGCCGGAGGGCCTTTTCCTGTACGGGTGCTGCTGAAAGACGATATTGACCTTGTGGGGCAAAAAACACCACATTGACTTGCATCCGAAGTCTTGCAAAACCGACAAAAATAGTGGAAGATTGTAAGTTAAAAATTACCATGGTTTTTGGTCCAACAAAAATTACCATGGTTTTAGCTTCACCATTTGCATGATCAGGCACATTTCAGATTTGTCCTTCGGCTGGCTGGGCTGTGACTTTCAAGACATCATCCTCACTCCTTCCTCCTTCACCATTGCAGCGAAGGATCCTCAATTCATATTAGAAATTTCTACTTTGCTTCATACTCCTTCCACTCTTTAAAGGGTTTTGAATGCATCCGGGGAAGCTTCCTCCCCACTTCCACTGAGAAAATGCATAATCTGGACCTCACAGATTCAGATTTAATTTTTTTTTATATTGTTCATTTTAAAAATAAAAATTTTATATACATTGTAAAACTAAAAAAAGTAATAAATTTGTTTATAACTTTGAACAGTCCAGGTTTAATATGAATGATTCACATTTATGATTAAAATTTTTTATTTCCAACTTATAAAAATATTAAGTTTTTAAAAAAAATTGGTGAAAATAACCTAATCAAAAGCAAAATTAGTCATAGATACTAAATATACTTGAAAGATCAAGGTAAATATTTTATTTATTAAATAATTTGAACAAATAATCAAATGTCCCTTTGTATTAATTAATTTTTTTAAAAGGTACAAAATCTAATCGTCGGAGCTTTAGTGACTAAAGCTCTAGGCGGCAACAATGAGCCTCTTAGAGCTTCAATTGGTAGGCAAACAGTCATCAAAAATGTACTCGAAAAGTGTCATAGAAAAAAATCAATACCCCTCGATTATATGTAATCATCAAGAATTACATGTAAACTCAACAACTAGAGGATTTGAGGATTTTAACTTAGGTTGTGAGGAATTTGGTTTGGGTACAAGACTTTTGACTTAAGGTATAAGGGTTATGACTTGACTACAAGGCTTCTGACTTATGTGCAAGACTTTAATTTGAGGTGCAAGGATTATGACTTGAGTACATGTGTAATTATAGTTTCTCCCTTTTTGAATAATGAGGGTGTGGGATGTCTAACTATCACCACATGCAATGAGTGATAATTTCCAAATAAATATAAGACCCGACATCAAGGCTACTTGTGATATGGAGAAATTCTATATGGTTTCACACTACTCCACTTATATATGATGAATCTCCCCTCCTCACATACACCATCATGCAATCACATAGAGCATTGATCCACATTATATCATCCATGAGCATTAACACGTTATAAAAGTAAGGTTTTTTTAAAATATTAATAAAATGATTAAAATCCTTAAAATTTCATTTCAATGCCAAGTGTCATTTGTTAGAATGATATGTCAGATGCTCAATTTTTTTTAAAAAAGGTGAAATTAAATAAATTGTTAAATTTAACAACAATTTCTTCTTTTTGAAAGTTTAACAACAATTTTAGTGAGAGGAGAATTGGCGGTCAAAATATGGAATTTGGTACTCTTAATTTTAAACATTTAAATGTTAGGATAGTAATAGGCAACCAATCAAAAAGTCAAGAAAATTTTGTATATTTTAGCATTTTTTTTTTGAAATCCTTTCTCTCTATCATATTACTCTACAATATCCATACAAAAGAGATATAAGAAGAAATATTAATTGTTTTATATAGCATAATGATTTAAAAGTAAAATCATGAAAAGCTTCTAAAAAATAACTTATAAGTAAAATCATAAAAGAATTTAAAAAAATTATACGTGTAGAAATGGAGGGGGTATTGCAATTTGCATGACTTAATATAAAATGAGGACTATTATTCCCCAGGCCATGAACCAAACAGCCCTTAGCTCAGAAGTGACAGGCTGATCTTACTAGACATGCGTTGAGGATGTTGAGCATATTTGTCGAAGCTACGTGAATTCGACATATTCTTTTTCCCCGCCAACATGAATGGACGCATTCATTCAACAAAATGTCAAAGGCGTATTTTTTTTTTTTTGACGTAAATTAAAGGCGTAAAATGAATATAAAGTTATGTAAATTACTTAGCCCAAGTCGTATAAAAAATTACCTAGCCCAAGTCCAAGTACTCGCTTGAATCTCATTCTCCTGTTATCACTACCTGCATTCAGAAGAAGAAATAATTTGAAGCGAGCATCTTATCAAAAAAGAAAAAAAGAAAATTGAAGCAAGCACCAAAACAACTAAACAAATCAATTCAAATCAAATTCAGAAAACATATTTTATTCTTTGTCACAGAGTAAAGACATAATATTTATTATATCTTTACAATTATGAATTAATAACACCTTTGATCCTGATTATAAGAAACTCCTGCATATATTAAAAAATAAGATGTCTTGTTTAAATCAAAACTAAGATATCATCGTATTCTTATATATTTAATATATTTGTTTTCCAATTCAAGACATGCGAGTAGTAGTACCATAACTCACTAACTAATTAAAACAACTCTAACCAATGACTTTCAGTGACAGTAATTTTAAACTTTTACAAGAAATAACTCATTTTAATTAATAATTAGTTTTCTTAAAGTTGTTAGTAGTTGTTTATAAAAATTATTGGAAATAATAGCCAGTATTTAGTCACAGTTTTGTTTGTTCAGTAGTCATGTTTTTAAAATGTGACAAAGATTCATACCAATAGTTGAAAAACAAAATGTAACTATTTTAATTGTGGCAAAAATTTAGCCATGGTTTAAAAAAAAAACATGGCTAAAAGCCACACTTTCTGAAAAAATATGTGGCTATTGCTAACCTGATATATTATGAGACTTCAGCCATGTTTTTCCCAAAAAACGTGGCTTTACTTACTTTCATTTAAAAAAAATTAATAACATTTTTTGCAGTAATTTATATATTTTAAAAGTTTTTCAATAATTTAAATATTATATTTCATTATATTACAATCACGTTTTTCAAAAAACATGCCAACTGACTTATTTCATTAAATAAAATTTGATAAATTTTTTTCAAAAATTTAAATCTTTCCACAAGTTTTGAGATATTTAAATACTACAAATTATTATATTATATTATTATTTTCTTGAAATATTTTGGAAAAACTATTTCGCACAATTTAATTTTAAAATTTTTTGATAATTAAATTTTAATTATTTTTTGATCAGATTATTAATACAAATTATTTAAATTATTTTTGTTACTGGTTGATGTATATATTTTTGTTTTTGCTTATAAAATATTTTTAATCAATATTTTAAATATCTTATTAATATATAAGATTTTTCAACCTGTAAAACAAAAAAATATAATTAGAAAATTTAAAAAAATGAAATAATAAAAAAGACAGATAGAGAAAGAAAAATACAGATAAAATAAGAAATTTACTTATAGAATAAGGAACGAAATGAAGAAAAAAATTAATGAAATCATAAATAACTTACATGAAAAAAAAATTGAGAGTCGAAGGAGATCAAAGAACATGAAAAGATAGATATGGCGAGCAACAAATGAAGACAAATGAGGAGATATATATATAAAAAGCAGACGTGGCTTAGCAAGCCACGTTTTTCACATAAAGCCATGCTTATGGTACGAAAACGGGGCTTGCTAAGCCATGTTTTTCTAAAAAAGCGGCTTCAAGCCACGGTTTTTTTTATAAAAGAGCTCACCATGAGCCACGTTTTTGGCAAAGCTGTGACTGCTCCACTGCTTATTAAATTTAAAAAATGATTTAATTTAATTGTTTTATTTTTTATTTTACATCAACAAAATAAAATATTTTGATTAATAATTAAAAATAATTAAATCATCCTAAAAAAATTATTACATTATTAACTGTTGTTATGTAGTTTAATTGTAAATTTAAGCTAATAAAATTTATAATATTAATTTTAACTCATTAATTAATTTCTAACAAATTAATTAGTCTTAATAATTAAAAAAATTATTTTATTTTATACTGTACAACAATAATGATTGTGAATAAATTATTCTAATAACAATAATCATTATTTAATTAAATATATTTTTTATGCTAATTTTTTATAGTACTAATTTTAACCAAAAAATTATTTATATAATAATAATAAATATATTATATTTGTAATAAAAAAAATTTATTTGCTAAATAAAATTTAAGTATAAGATTATGAAAGTTATGTTGTTAATATTAATATAAATAATTTATATATTATTCCTGACCAGAAAAATAATTTATATATTATTGATATGCTATCACACCCATAAGGAGAATATTATAATTGAAAAATAACTTAATAAGACATTCTTCATTAAATTTTTAACAAAGTTAAATATAAAGAAAATAAAAGAAACAAGTATTCATTAAACCATTACAAATAATAATTTCAAGTAGAAAATTCATCCATGAAAAGAGCCTAGAGAATTATTCAAATTCATATTTGATCTAAAATTTGGACTAACATTGAAAGATGAATCCTATAAATAAGAACAAATAGGT